AGAAAAAATATGTTGTATCAGAATGAATCAAACCATTTAATTATCATTACCAAGTAGGTAGGCTAGGCCTAATGTTTCATTTTTGACTGTGTGCTATAAAAGAGGATCAGTCAGATTGCCTGTCTCACAAAGGCAAGGATGCACTGCAATATTTAATGGGTAAATAATTTGGCCTGTGGTCGTTCTTTATGTACCTAGTTGATATTATTAGTGTATGAAATTTATCGGGTCTCTTTTAGAAGAAGGCTGCCGCTACTGTATTTAAAGATTCCCTACACGATTAAATTGTTTTCACATGAGTACTTCATATTAAGAGAGTCAAAGATGAATGAAAACTCTATCTGCAATTAAGTGCATATTGAAAGTCAGGATAAGTTGTCAATATCTTATCAACCGTAATATTAGCTTGTCTCACCGCTACCTTTAGTAGCCGGAACTCCGCTGGATTGGCCTGTTTTATATCAGACATTTAGGTGACGCTGATCAATACGTTTATGCAATAACATTATGATAAAGTTATAAATTAACCTAGCCTAAACTGTGGTTTTTCCACAGTTTAAATAGTGACGGCCCTCTTCTGAAAAATACACGATCCATCTGCTAAGCAAAACATGCAAAGAGTAGGAAATAAAACTATGTAATATAGAATGGCACAAATGATCTACCTTTACATCAACTTCTTGTTTAATGGACAACCAAGTAGGTATGGAAATCAATTGACCACAACTCAAATTACCCAAAAATACTTACAGATTTATTAGGGATTCAAATTTAAATCTAATTTAGCTTTCATTTATTAAAATAACACATAAAAAACCTTAGAGATATAAAGAAATCGAATTACATGTAAAATACCAAACGTGGTACATTCCAAACTACGAAGAATGCAGCTTGCTGATATCTTCATATAGAACATTGTTTACAACTTTGCCACTCAGTGGTCCCGATATTATTTTAACAGACACACAATAATGTTTAGTGTTTATTTCAACCAATTCCGCAACTAAACCAGCGTATGCACCGTTCAATATTTTCACACGTCGACCAACTGCAGGTATCACTGTTTCTAGGTGGGCTTGGTCCAGCTTTAGTTTAACATCAAAATCAAGCATTCGTACCTTAGCACAAAACTTATCAATTACTTTAGTAACAACTCCTTTCTTCTTATAAAACTTCTCTCCGAGCGAATCAGTAACAACCTTAACAACAATATCCTCTGTTAACCAATTGTTTTTTTTAGGGGCCTTTTTCCTTCTTTCTTCTTCCTCTTTCATAATCTCATCAAGGGCTGTTAGTTTCTTCTTCTCCTTCTTCATAGTTTGGCCTTTCAAAGAATCTGCCTTTAGACTCGCAGTATCATCATCTTTCTTGTTGCTTGCTTGAGGTTTCTGAACAATGTTCACTTTTGTTTCAGGCTTCTTAAACTTAGGAAGACTTATTGTAATTGGCTCACTACTTTCATCCCGAACAAGTTCTGTTGGTTTATGTTCTACCTTATTTCCTAATTGTCTTCCTCGTTCAATTTGTTTTTCTAAAAACTCCATCATCTTCTCGCTGTCATCCTTCTCCATTTTCTCCTTCTTGGCCATGGCTTCTTGCAGTGCTATAGTTTCTGGGTCCCTGTCAATGTATTGCACAAACCAACCTTTTTCAGTTTCATCAACAACACAAAATCCTTCTCGTCCTAACCACTTGACAAAGTCTGTCAATGTTTCCCACTGGGTTGAATTCATGTGAAGGTGATTTCTATCAGCAATATAATCTTGGTAGACCCTATTTGCATTCACACGTTTAGTTCCAAACTGGCGTTTCAATAGTTCACAATACCCCTCTTGAAATTCTTTTGAAAATTCATCAATGTATTTGTCTGCATTATCTGCAAAGAGCAACAATTGACGCTGATGAGACTCTGAAGTTGTGTGACATTTAAAACCGTTTTCATCTCTGCATTGTTTTTGACACATCTGACAATACCATCTGAGCTTTTGGAGTCCCTTAGCTTTAATTTTATTGGCTATGTATTTGGGTGTTCCTGCTTCGTGTTTCCCCATTTTTATGTATGAGTAAAATAAATATCTCACCTACAAAGTCATAAACAAGAATTGGCACTTTCACCAGAATATAATAATCGACTGTAGGCTACACTTTGATAGTTCATGGTCTTCATGAAAATTTATTTGTCCTAACTCTTAATCCTTGTTTGGCAGAAATAGGAAAATAAGTTACCCAGCTACATATCTCAGAAGACTTAATTCCTTTGAAACTTTGTCAAACACTTCAATCTATAAAGTTACAAATTAATTGTTATGTATTTGAAATCAAGTTTATAATGCAGTTTCACAAGTTTAAAATAAAATCACACAACTTAACCTCACTTAGTCACTACTCAACTGAAAATGAAAATACTGTACTGACTACTGACTGACTGACTGACTGACATAGTGTAGTGACATTAGACAAGACAGACATTGTTGACATTTTGATTTTGTTCTGGTTCTGACGTTTGTTTTTTTCTTTGTGTAGAAAGTAAAATACAGTAAAAAATTTTATTGTATTCTTTAGTACCAGTTAATAAGGCAGGCTTGATTACATGTCTTGTAGTTTCATAAACTGATTTTTAGTCATTAATCATCATATGTGATAAATTAATTACTTTTCTACAATTTGGTGTTGAATTAAATACAAAACTATCTGACTTATTTCAACATAATCCAAATGTATTTTACAAGGTTTATTTTATGTCCTTGTGTTTTCTTTTAGTTGCTTATAAGGGCAATTAGGTAAAAGAGGGTTTGGTTTTCACACCCAAAGCCAATAACGCTAGAATTAACTAAAGATCAGAAGAAAAAGTGATTATCCAACATAATTCAAACCAAGCTCAAAAGAACGCGTTCTGTTTGAAAATTTTTTGACAACAGAGGATAAGGAGTTATACAGAATATCTATATTCCACAGATTAGTTGGGGAGAGAAGAGTGACCAAACCCAAACCCCTGACTCAGTTTGGACATCATGATCCACCGCCGTGTATATAGTCTAGGTTTTAAAGTTTTAATTTTTCATAACGCAAAATAAATCTATCCAGCTATGGCTATGGGCAACGATGAGGAACCGGTAAAGGTAAATGTAAAGTGGCCTAGCTTTTTTCTCAGTTTTTTTTTTCAAAATTTGAGTTGCATTTTAACCCTCCAGACGTTGTAATAAAATTAGTTCACAGTGTTAAATTATAGTGTCTTCGACAACCAGCACTTTGTAAAATAATTGCCGCAAGTGGCACGAAACCTTATCGATAAACTGATACCTACAATCATTTATTATAGGTCAGTGGTCTACAACTACAATGGTGGCATTTTAGTTTGAAAGATTTGTTAGAAAAGTTCGGCACATCGACACGTGCTCTCATGAAGTTTTCTGTCTTGTATCAGACATTATGAAATTAGTTTACCCATTTCCAGACCATCTCCATTTTAAGCATTTGTTCAATGCAGCGCAAGAGTATTTACTTGATAATTGATACAGTACTTACTTTCCGTGTCCGGAAATCAGACTTCGCTTTTCCAAAAATTAGCCGTGTAATGAAGGCCTCCACTATAGGAGCCAGTTCCTCCTTGGCTGGTATGGGAGGGTTAGTCAACGTGGCCTCCCACCTTGCCACCCGATTGCTTGAGAGTGATCCAACCAGTACTCGTGTCCGTGATAAAAAGCTCTTTCTGGACCGAAGGCGTCGCTCTGCAGGTTGGTGGTCGTGTAATGGGTGACGAGGGTCTGTCTCTTGCTTAGTCCTTTCTGCGTCGGCAGCGACATCACGTCGGATTGATGGAGGGGCGATCCCTCGATAGAGTTTGTGTACTGGGGTTGGTTCAAACACCCAGTTACAATCCGAGCCATGTCATTGACTGCATAATGTCAACCTTTTTTGCATGTGACGATGCGATCCATACTGGTGCAGCGTACTCCGCAGCCGACACACTGAGCGCTAAAGCTGAGGTTCTGAGGACATTCTGGGGTGCACAGAAGGAGACTCCCCTTGTGACCATTACACACTATGAACGACATCACAATCGGGCGCACCCCAGGCAACCAGCAAATCCTTCTACAACCGGACGACTTCGAAAATACTTGATTATGCCCCACTAGCATCGCTCCTCTGCGACGTGGTCGTCAAAACGCCTAGAAGTGGAAAAACATAATAGGCCTAATTTATCAGATCATTTACTTAGGCCGCTTCACATGTATATTCCTTTATCATCTTCTTAAATTTATTAGTATTTTGCTCTTCAATTATGTTCTTTGTTAGTGAGTTGTAGATCTTGATGCTACTAAAATATGGGCTCCTGCAGGCCAAAGTTTTATTCACTCGAGGTTTGTCTATCATTAGTTTATTTGTGGGTTTGAACATAAATGTTGTAGTTGTAGGACATATCATAACATAACTACGAGCGTATTCGTCCGCGCGACGAGGTACACCGGTACACCGTGCCACGGCCGTGCACAAATAAACCAACCATGAACTACTGTATCGAAATTTCACCTTGAATTATGCAATTATTATAATAAGATCAAGTTAAAGAAATCCGTGAAAACTACTCAGCTAGATTCTTGTATCTACTAACCTTAATACGTAAATGTAACAGGCACTTGCATTTCCAACAACAAACAATACTGTCCACTTCCACGACCCCCTAAAGGCAGCCGTTCCACTTCGAACCTAAAATGATCTTAAATCAATGGTTGCAGGAAGTAACATAACAAGTTAATTTGAAATTCTGTGCTTAGACTACTAAACTGTTGCAGAAAAAAAGCTCATTTTGATTTTTCTTCTCTCCAGTTGCCTGTTGCCTGTACTGTTGTTGTTCTGTTGTTCTGTTAGTTTCTGTCTGTTTTCGATTCGTGTTAGTGTTATTTTCTATCCATTATTTGTTTACAAAATCTTCCCTAGCCCTGATCCCTAATCCTTATAGAATATAGAATAGAATAGAGTCACGTCTGATGAGGGGGGAGTGGGTCGGAGAGGTTTTATTTTAGCAAAGTTTCAATTGTGGAGTAATTACTCGGACTTTTCTCATCTTGCTGAGATTCATTGAAATAAGTATTGCTTTCTTCAGAAATAGTTAAGTTATTTGGACTCATTATGCACTAGACCAAATCCAAAAGTGATCATTCATTTAAAGTAGGTCTAGGCACTAAACCGAAATCTATGTTCTAGCTAAATAGGTTATGAATTTTAGGGCGTTTTTAAAGTGAACAGGATTTAACCAAGAGGTGAAATAAAAAATGGAAAATATAACTAAAAAAACGCTTTTGGAAACGGTGGATACTGCAATTGAGTACTCTGCAAAGCTAGACAGAAATTTAAACTCTGTAATTGGAGCAGAGCAACAGGTAAGAAAACATTGGAGCCTACCCTGTTATTGGTAGGCTATTTATTGTGACGAACGTGACCATGGGAACCTATATAGATTTATATATCACTAGAAACTAGATTTTTAGCTGAAAATAACGGTGCAAAAATTTTCTTCACTCTCACATATTAACAGAGTTACGGCTGTTTTATTTAGGGCTACCAGTACTTTATTTTTTTGACCTAACCTAGGCCTATTTGTAAGCCTATGAAATGTTCTCTCCAGATACTTGATATATTACGTTAATTATAAGTAGGCCTAGGTAATTAAAGTAACTTATAAGACTCACTTTATAGGCCTACTGAACCTGAAATGAAAATGAAAATACAAAAATTAAGAGAAGAGAATAAAAATATGTCAATCAAGACATTCAAAGTAGGCCTACATGTGCTACAAACATCTAAGAAACAACACGGCACCGAATAACTTATTTCAGAATGATTTTATTTAGGTAGGCATGTGTGGAAGGCAAGTCGGGCTTATGCGGATTCGTGACTGTATTAAGTGTTTTGAAGTTAGGTTAGATTAAGTTAGGAAGGTAAAGTGTGTAGGTTATAGTGAACCGAGTTGATAATTCATTTTACATACAGGCAGTTGTTGTGCCATCAAAATAGTGTGTTAAACACAACGAAATAACAAGTTATTTTACATAACCTCATGACTGATGTTAGTTGACAGACAAAGACTAGACCATAGGACTAGACGAACAGACGATTTCCAATTTGGCTGTTAGCTAGTATTTCGATTCGCTTAAACACAATTTTCTTGCAAAATAAGTTATGAGTTTATGAAGTTATGTAGGTTTACCAATCGGGAGCTGATTATATTACAATGTTTTCACTTTTTAGTCTACTTTTAAGGTAGATAGGTAGTCAAAAGCTTAGGTCACCAATTTTTAATCCCACCTACTAATTTAAGATTTCCCTCGTACAGGTAATAGGGACTGCTGAAGAAAGTTTAACTGAGATTGATGTGGCATTTGATGATCTAGCTAAATCTGTATTAGACGCTCTTAACAAAAGGAGAGAAGTTTTAAAGAAAAACGTGATGCGAATTCAAGAAGAAGGGCTCGCACCTCTGCGAGCTTGTAGGGACGTCATATCACATACATTAAAGACCACCCAAAGCTACATTTGTGAAGGGCAAGAGCTGATGGAACAAAGGAACTGTGATGTGGAGCGCAGCTTGAAGTACATTGACCAGTCTTCACTTCTTGGGAGGTTAGTTTGAGAATAAGTTTCTAAACAGTAAAGAAGACTATTAACCCTACAGAGATAATTGTTAGGCCTAAAGGTGCAGAGGTGATTGATTAAACCTCTGCATTAGATATGGTCTGTACTGGCAAATGTACGAGTGCTGTAAATTATGGTCTATCGAGCTCCAATCTTGGTCAAGTGACCTACTTTGAATCAGATACCATCATCTGGTTATTTATTTTGTTTACCACAATAGCTGGTTTTCACCCCAGTGGGGTGATTAGTCTCGTCATAGTCGAAAATCATTATGGGGTAGGCCTAATTGACGCTCCTGCCAAGTATAAATCTTGTTCTATGTGATAATGTTTCTGAGGAAGGAGGTTAAACCTGTTGAAATCCAATGCCAGTTAGTTGACACATGTGCAAGTAGGAAAGTGTTGTAGACATAAATAAGTTAATTTCTATCAGTGGGTTAGGGAGTTTACAGAGGGCTGTAGAGCCTACATACATTCACACAATGGGGCTGTAATTGGGTGTTAATCAGTTGCCAAAATTGAGACATTAAATACATTTTGGGAAACTGCTTGCTGATCGGTGTGCTTAAGACTATATACCAAGGGGTTAGCGTAGTCCTTGAGTCTTAAGACATCCCTAATCAGTTTAGCAATCCTTCTCGTTCAGTTACACCACGATCCAGATGCAAAATGTAATCACCTAACTTCAGTCACTGTCTCAAACGAGACTGATTAACAATTGAAGTCAGCCTACACCTCAGAAAACATTACATGCACATTTTTACGACCTCCAAATTCCCTCTAACCCTTACCGGCAATTTCTAGGTCCAACTTACTTAACTCCATTCACGTCTGTCAACTCGTCATTGACTTCAATAGTGGTCAGTGACTGAGACTTACAGTCACATATATATATATATATACATTATATATATTTATATTAAGAACTTGATTTAAATCCTTAGCTAGAGCATACAATTTTTTCACAATGTTTTAGGTTATTATGACGAGACTAATCGTGAGCCTTAGGGGTAAGAACCAGCTAGAAAATATGTAGTGAATGAAGTAAAGAACACGGCGTTGATCTCAGATTAGACAAGTTCGCTACCGATCGTCAACTATGGTTGACGCCAGACTTTATGTCACTGCCCTAGGCAACCTGTGGGCCAGATTTCCCTTTTGGAACAAGTTAATTGAGTTAAACATACCCACAGACCAATCTTTTATATTCGTTTTACTGATCAACTAGGGTCTAAATAATATTTATTTACATTAAATTGTAATACAAATTTAAAACGAGTATTTAAAAAAAAATTATGTGTTCAAAGTTAATGAGTTGTGTTAATGTTAATGTGTTTTTAGTGGCATTAAAGTTGATGTTAACTTTAGTTGACATTGGTCCATCGCTTACTTTGTTGTACATGTATCAATTTGTCTTTATCCATTAGTAGCATGTCGATCTTAATCCTTGATATAAAACACAAAAATGTTTTATATGTTATATGAAATGATATAACACACACCAACTTACTTGGAGAGGACTGGGTCAACTAACACATCGAGACCTGTAGGCATTTATGTAAAAAAATGCTGGCAATTTTACAAAAAAAAAACAATGCTACTCCATTAGACCTACCACGAACAACCAATCAAAAAAAATAAACCGTGCATTTGTAACAAGCCATAATTTTATGAATGTTGGCGTCAAGAATAGTTGACGTCAGCCCAGAGAGTCCAGACAACACGCAACGCCATAGTTGACGCTGGTCTGTGGTGATGGAATTATTTTAACATGTCGGTAGCAAACGTGTTAAACTAGCTCGCTTGGTCACGACTTGATCTTGTCACTGACTGCCCTCGTACCATTGCATAGGTTACCTTACTTTAGATGATCAGTTATGTAGTAAAAGTATTCAAAGTTTCATTGATATTTTTAGTGATTGATGCTTAGAAAACGTCGTTACATCTCATATTGAAATAACTTAAGTCCTGCAAATTTGGCACTCAATAACCCAGTAGTCCAGTATTCTCAGCAAACTGCAAAGAACAAATTACAGCGTCTGTAAAAAAGACTTAAGATTTAGCTTTCATAATGTTCAAACTACTCTTTTAGATCTTTTAAAGTTGTTCAAATATTTAGTTTTCATTTCAAACTTCATAACCCAAATCATGATTCTACTTCTCAAAGTTGTGGCTGCATAACAGAACAACTTATCTTGTTATTTTGAAGCTTCTTTTATTGTTCTGGCTTAGATAACTACTTAGATGTAGGCATATTGGTTTTGTTTCCTTATAAAATATCAGATAGGAACTGATAACTTATAGGTTTAAATTTGTTAAAGGTCAACTGAGTATAGAACTGTCTAAAATGCAATATTATATTGTTTCCAGTCTACCAGCTGTGCCTAACCTAGAGGAGGTGCCAGCAATCTCATTTCAACTGAACGTTGATTCTCTCCGCAACAGCCTAGTGTGCAGGTGGGCAATCCTTCAAGTTTATAAGCTCACGTGTTCGCAGCAGTCCTTAAATTTTAGTGGCATCACCTGTATCGTCAGATGGGCTTGAGTCCCCACTTATCTATATAGGTACACTAGCTGTTGTACCCGTTTTTTGCAACGGGAAGAGGACACGGATCAGCAACATTTTGATCTTTACATCTGTTGTATAAAATAAAATAGTTACACATTACACACACTTTTAGAAACAAAATTCAACTGTAATAGCCTTTATAGAAACGTTTAAGGCTATTAAATCTGGCAAGTAGTGAAACCCCTAATTTTGGGTTTTGATTAATTTTAAATCTGTGAAGGTTAATACGGAAAAACTTGCCAAATTGTGAATAACATATACGCACACATTATTTACATCTCCCTATTTACATATATTTTTTTCTTTATTTTTAACTTCTTTATTTTCAATCTTGAAGTTTCAAAATGTTTAGTTATTAAATTCAAATGAAGAAATTTATTTAGGTCAATCTTCTTCAAATTAAATCACAAATCCCTCCATCTTCACTCAAAATAAATTATTAGCAACACTAAACATTAGCTGTTATAAATTTATAAACGAAAAATATTAAAGAAACTATATATATACCATAAAATGTTGTAAACCAAACACCAACATCATAGACACAATAGCGTGTAATTACCAGCAACACTTGTTTTGCGAAAGAATAATAAAAATATATTCGTGACCTAGTTTTTAAATAACATTTTGGTATGGTTAGCAATAGTATGATAGAGAGTTAAAATATCGGGTACATTAATTGCAATTGTCGCCAATTTCAGGATTCTCTCTGCCGGTGTTGTTTCGAGGATGGGTCCAGTGCAAATAACATCCATTGTAGAGAAACCAGGAGCTCTTTTAGTCAACTGGGAAGAGGTTGGTTTTATATACATTTATTAGAATCATAACTAGGCCTACAAGATTAAAAAATGTCACCTTAACTTTTATTCTACATGAAATTAATGTTATAGGAAAAATAGAGCCCAAAAACCCTTGTATTTTTGTTAGTACACTTGAAGTAGAGCCTTAATAGCAACCAATATTGAACATAGTTAACATACACATAGTTACATAGTTAATAGTTAGTTGTACATAGTTAATGATTATGGGTGCTGAATAAGTACTTTGCCTTTGCAGGTGGAGGAAAGAGGCCTGGATGACCAATGTTTCCGACTCCAATTATCAGTTGGGGCTCATCCAACACCTCTGCCACGACATTCCGCTGCAGTGTACAGAGACGTATATCAGGTAGGTCTGCAGATCCTCGTGGAACTAAGTTTAGGTTACTAATAGGCTACCTACCTTCTGCAAGTGTTTAGTTCATACATCAATGTGTCTAGGGAGCAGACAATAGCTGTGTGGTGAGAGATGTCCACCCAGGGACTCAGTACACTCTGAGAGTCTGTTGCAAGGTTGAGAGAGGTGACTGGTGTGCCTGGAGTCTACCTAGAGTTGCTGCCACCACTCTACCTGCCTTCTGTGAGTGTTTAGTTCATACATGAATGTGTCTAGGGAGCAGACAGTAGCTGTGTGGTGAGAGATGTCCACCCAGGAACACAGTACACTCTGAGAGTCTGTTGCAAGGATGAGAGAGGTGACTGGTGTGCCTGGAGTCTACCTAGAGTTGCTGCCACCACTCTACCTGCCTTCTGTGAGTGTTTAGTTCATACATGAATGTGTCTAGGGAGCAGACAGTAGCTGTGTGGTGAGAGATGTCCACCCAGGAACACAGTACACTCTGAGAGTCTGTTGCAAGGATGAGAGAGGTGACTGGTGTGCCTGGAGTCTACCTAGAGTTGCTGCCACCACTCTACCTGCCTTCTGTGAGTGTTTAGTTCATACATGAATGTGTCTAGGGAGCAGATAGTAGCTGTGTGGTGAGAGATGTCCACCCAGGAACACAGTACACTCTGAAAGTCTGTTGCAAGGTTGAGAGAGGTGACTGGTGTGCCTGGAGTCTACCTAGAGTTGCTGCCACCACTCTACCTGCCTTCTGTGAGTGTTTAGTTCATACATGAATGTGTCTAGGGAGCAGATAGTAGCTGTGTGGTGAGAGATGTCCAGTCCACCCAGGAACACAGTACACTCTGAGAGTCTGTTGCAAGGATGAGAGAGGTGACTGGTGTGCCTGGAGTCTACCTAGAGTTGCTGCCACCACTCTACCTGCCTTCTGTGAGTGTTTAGTTCATACATGAATGTGTCTAGGGAGCAGACAGTAGCTGTGTGGTGAGAGATGTCCACCCAGGAACACAGTACACTCTGAGAGTCTGTTGCAAGGATGAGAGAGGTGACTGGTGTGCCTGGAGTCTACCTAGAGTTGCTGCCACCACTCTACCTGCCTTCTGCAAGTGTTTAGTTCATACATGAATGTGTCTAGGGAGCAGACAGTAGCTGTGTGGTGAGAGATGTCCACCCAGGAACACAGTACACTCTGAGAGTCTGTTGCAAGGATGAGAGAGGTGACTGGTGTGCCTGGAGTCTACCTAGAGTTGCTGCCACCACTCTACCTGCCTTCTGCAAGTGTTTAGTTCACACATGAATGTGTCTAGGGAGCAGACAGTAGCTGTGTGGTGAGAGATGTCCACCCAGGAACACAGTACACTCTGAGAGTCTGTTGCAAGGATGAGAGAGGTGACTGGTGTGCCTGGAGTCTACCTAGAGTTGCTGCCACCACTCTACCTGCCTTCTGCAAGTGTTTAGTTCATACATGAATGTGTCTAGGGAGCAGACAGTAGCTGTGTGGTGAGAGATGTCCACCCAGGAACACAGTACACTCTGAGAGTCTGTTGCAAGGATGAGAGAGGTGACTGGTGTGCCTGGAGTCTACCTAGAGTTGCTGCCACCACTCTACCTCCCTTCTGCAAGTGTTTAGTTCATACATGAATGTGTCTAGGGAGCAGACAGTAGCTGTGTGGTGAGAGATGTCCACCCAGGAACACAGTACACTCTGAAAGTCTGTTGCAAGGATGAGAGAGGTGACTGGTGTGCCTGGAGTCTACCTAGAGTTGCTGCCACCACTCTACCTGCCTTCTGCAAGTGTTTAGTTCATACATGAATGTGTCTAGGGAGCAGACAGTAGCTGTGTGGTGAGAGATGTCCACCCAGGAACACAGTACACTCTGAGAGTCTGTTGCAAGGATGAGAGAGGTGACTGGTGTGCCTGGAGTCTACCTAGAGTTGCTGCCACCACTCTACCTCCCTTCTGCAAGTGTTTAGTTCATACATGAATGTGTCTAGGGAGCAGACAGTAGCTGTGTGGTGAGAGATGTCCACCCAGGAACACAGTACACTCTGAGAGTCTGTTGCAAGGATGAGAGAGGTGACTGGTGTGCCTGGAGTCTACCTAGAGTTGCTGCCACCACTCTACCTGCCTTCTGTGAGTGTTTAGTTCATACATGAATGTGTCTAGGGAGCAGACAGTAGCTGTGTGGTGAGAGATGTCCACCCAGGAACACAGTACACTCTGAGAGTCTGTTGCAAGGTTGAGAGAGGTGACTGGTGTGCCTGGAGTCTACCTAGAGTTGCTGCCACCACTCTACCTGCCTTCTGTGAGTGTTAAGTTCATACATGAATGTGTCTAGAGAGCAGACAGTAGCTGTGTGGTGAGAGATGTCCACCCAGGAACACAGTACACTCTGAGAGTCTGTTGCAAGGATGAGAGAGGTGACTGGTGTGCCTGGAGTCTACCTAGAGTTGCTGCCACCACTCTACCTGCCTTCTGTGAGTGTTTAGTTCATACATGAATGTGTCTAGGGAGCAGACAGTAGCTGTGTGGTGAGAGATGTCCACCCAGGAACACAGTACACTCTGAGAGTCTGTTGCAAGGATGAGAGAGGTGACTGGTGTGCCTGGAGTCTACCTAGAGTTGCTGCCACCACTCTACCTGCCTTCTGTGAGTGTTTAGTTCATACATGAATGTGTCTAGGGAGCAGATAGTAGCTGTGTGGTGAGAGATGTCCACCCAGGAACACAGTACACTCTGAAAGTCTGTTGCAAGGTTGAGAGAGGTGACTGGTGTGCCTGGAGTCTACCTAGAGTTGCTGCCACCACTCTACCTGCCTTCTGTGAGTGTTTAGTTCATACATGAATGTGTCTAGGGAGCAGATAGTAGCTGTGTGGTGAGAGATGTCCATCCAGGAACACAATACACTCTGAGAGTCTGTTGCAAGGATGAGAGAGGTGACTGGTGTGCCTGGAGTCTACTTAGAGTTGCTGCCACCACTCTACCTGCCTTCTGTGAGTGTTTAGTTCATACATGAATGTGTCTAGGGAGCAGACAGTAGCTGTGTGGTGAGAGATGTCCACCCAGGAACACAGTACACTCTGAGAGTCTGTTGCAAGGATGAGAGAGGTGACTGGTGTGCCTGGAGTCTACCTAGAGTTGCTGCCACCACTCTACCTGCCTTCTGCAAGTGTTTAGTTCATACATGAATGTGTCTAGGGAGTAGACAGTAGCTGTGTGGTGAGAGATGTCCACCCAGGAACACAGTACACTCTGAGAGTCTGATGCAAGGATGAGAGAGGTGACTGGTGTGCCTGGAGTCTACCTAGAGTTGCTGCCACCACTCTACCTGCCTTCTGGGAGTGTTTAGTTCATACATGAATGTGTCTAGGGAGCAGACAGTAGCTGTGTGGTGAGAGATGTCCACCCAGGGACTCAGTACACTCTGAGAGTCTGTTGCAAGGATGAGAGAGGTGACTGGTGTGCCTGGAGTCTACCTAGAGTTGCTGCCACCACTCTACCTGCCTTCTGTGAGTGTTTAGTTCATACATGAATGTGTCTAGGGAGCAGACAGTAGCTGTGTGGTGAGAGATGTCCACCCAGGGACTCAGTACACTCTGAGAGTCTGTTGCAAGGATGAGAGAGGTGACTGGTGTGCCTGGAGTCTACCTAGAGTTGCTGCCACCACTCTACCTGCCTTCTGTGAGTGTTTAGTTCATACATGAATGTGTCTAGGGAGCAGACAGTAGCTGTGTGGTGAGAGATGTCCACCCAGGAACACAGTACACTCTGAGAGTCTGTTGCAAGGTTGAGAGAGGTGACTGGTGTGCCTGGAGTCTACCTAGAGTTGCTGCCACCACTCTACCTGCCTTCTGCAAGTGTTTAGTTCATACATGAATGTGTCTAGGGAGCAGACAGTAGCTGTGTGGTGAGAGATGTCCACCCAGGAACACAGTACACTCTGAGAGTCTGTTGCAAGGATGAGAGAGGTGACTGGTGTGCCTGGAGTCTACCTAGAGTTGCTGCCACCACTCTACCTGCCTTCTGCAAGTGTTTAGTTCATACATGAATGTGTCTAGGGAGCAGACAGTAGCTGTGTGGTGAGAGATGTCCATCCAGGAACACAGTACACTCTGAGAGTCTGATGCAAGGATGAGAGAGGTGACTGGTGTGCCTGGAGTCTACCTAGAGTTGCTGCCACCACTCTACCTGCCTTCTGCAAGTGTTTAGTTCATACATGAATGTGTCTAGGGAGCAGACAGTAGCTGTGTGGTGAGAGATGTCCACCCAGGGACTCAGTACACTCTGAGAGTCTGTTGCAAGGATGAGAGAGGTGACTGGTGTGCCTGGAGTCTACCTAGAGTTGCTGCCACCACTCTACCTGCCTTCTGTGAGTGTTTAGTTCATACATGAATGTGTCTAGGGAGCAGACAGTAGCTGTGTGGTGAGAGATGTCCACCCAGGGACTCAGTACACTCTGAGAGTCTGTTGCAAGGATGAGAGAGGTGACTGGTGTGCCTGGAGTCTACCTAGAGTTGCTGCCACCACTCTACCTGCCTTCTGTGAGTGTTTAGTTCATACATGAATGTGTCTAGGGAGCAGATAGTAGCTGTGTGGTGAGAGATGTCTACCCAGGAACACAGTACACTCTGAGAGTCTGTTGCAAGGATGAGAGAGGTGACTGGTGTGCCTGGAGTCTACCTAGAGTTGCTGCCACCACTCTACCTGCCTTCTGTGAGTGTTTAGTTCATACATGAATGTGTCTAGGGAGCAGATAGTAGCTGTGTGGTGAGAGATGTCTACCCAGGAACACAGTACACTCTGAGAGTCTGTTGCAAGGATGAGAGAGGTGACTGGTGTGCCTGGAGTCTACCTAGAGTTGCTGCCACCACTCTACCTGCCTTCTGTGAGTGTTTAGTTCATACATGAATGTGTCTAGGGAGCAGATAGTAGCTGTGTGGTGAGAGATGTCTACCCAGGAACACAGTACACTCTGAGAGTCTGTTGCAAGGATGAGAGAGGTGACTGGTGTGCCTGGAGTCTACCTAGAGTTGCTGCCACCACTCTACCTGCCTTCTGTGAGTGTTTAGTTCATACATGAATGTGTCTAGGGAGCAGATAGTAGCTGTGTGGTGAGAGATGTCCACCCAGGAACACAGTACACTCTGAGAGTCTGTTGCAAGGATGAGAGAGGTGACTGGTGTGCCTGGAGTCTACCTAGAGTTGCTGCCACGTCGCTACCTGCCTTCCGTAAGTGATGCATCAACATGAAAGACTACATGTGACTGTTAGATTTTACGTCAGTCTATTTGTTGTATTTTTTATATTGGACCTAGGATGTATAGCCGACCTGAGAACGGGAATAACAGGCAATTTTAGGAGAATTGTGACAAAAAATGGGAACCGTTTATAATTATATAGATGACCAGAACATTGTAGATTTTGAATGATCACAGTTTGTTTATTTTTCGTATTCTCGTGTCGAGAAAAAAAAAGAATCAATATCTCGGAAAATAATGACTATACTTTGTGTTTGTGGAAGTAAATATTGGAAATTGATATGACAAAAATGAAGGAAATAGCCCTGCTGTAGCAAACCTGCTGGCTAAGCAAATTTCCAATTGTCTGAATTGATTTTCAATTAAATCTTTTTAAATAATATTTGGTTTAACGAGTATCTTCTAGGTTGGCTGCTATAAGGAAAGTAATAAAGTGTGGGGTTTAGTAAAATAATAATAGCTTAGTATAATATAAGTCACTTTGCCAAGTTTGATCAAAATAACCAAATTCCTATATTTTACCACCACTAGTGTCGTGGTTATGGCAGTGAACTAAAGCTCAAAACTGGATTTTAGTCCGAAATAGTCAATGTATAAGTATCCGAGCCTTTGTGATTAATTATTATGTAAATTGCAAAAGTGTTTTCTTATGCCGGTTTATAATTGAAACCTGTCTTTGGTTTTAATAGTTTTACTTATTTTGAAATCTATTAAATGTCATGCATCCATTTCAGGCTGGTGTTCAAATAACCCCCACTACTCGACTAGTGTGGAAGGTAAAATCGCTACCAAGAGTGACAACGTGCCTTCAGTCTTGCTCTCTAGTGCTAAACAGTTCGGACCAGAACATTCTACAGAGTTTACTGTGAGTATGCTATTAAAACACTTGCAGCCAGAATGTTATGAGACTTTTTTTAGTGCTGTATTTTTTTAGGATTTTCTAGATGGTGTAATTTTGCTAACTGTTGTGTTTTTGAATTGAAAGACATGCATCTTCACTAGTTTTGGATAAGTGTACTGATGGTACCATTAGTCTGTGCTCGTGGTTGTAACAGCTGTCGTGTGGATGCGGGGAGGTGAGGGGGCTCTTTTCTAAAAACATTAGTCAGTAAAATCGCTGTCAGTGTTTATTTGTTTGTTTACCTTTTTACTTGTAAACAGTTCAATGTTTTGTTTGTGATATTCTTAACCTTTTTCACGTTTCGTTTTTTTCTTAATTTAATATACACACACATTTTTCTAATTTTGTACCTTTCATTATCATTATTAGGTGTACAATTTGAGAATCCTTCTAATTATGTTACAAGATGAACATAATAACATAGCATAACAACAACATAATTTAAACAAAAAATCGAAACCTCAAGTCGCAATTGGAAGGCCAAGTTAATCAAGGTGACTATCCTTCTTAGGGATTAGAAGAATGTGACTGCTCCCACCGACGTGGGAGCAAACAAAAATACCCATAAAATTGTTGAAAAATACAAAGATTTCACGTCAGTTCTAAACTACACCACAAAAATGTATGACTAAAGGGCCTAAATTAGTATTTTACGTTAAAATACTGAAATGAGAAATGTGAAAGAATGAGAATATGTGAGTTGGATCACTTCATGCTGATCGCTCATTTGCTGAAGTAAAGTGATACGAAGATCGGGATCTTGGATTAGAGGAGAAAATAAGAACACGAGAACGATTTATTTATTAACCACGACCATTCATAGGCCTACTGTCTCGTTGAAATGTGGAGTTCTATCGCTTATGGGTTACTCGTTGACGAGGACGGTTGTAAAATGAGTGGACTTTCCTAATTTACTGATTGTTGCTAAATGTATAACCTTTGTTGTTTGGTTATTTTCACAAGGCCTTAGTATAAATATGTTTGTATACTTAATTAAAGTCTATAATCATCTTATTAACTGATGCTTTATTAATTCATTTAGGCCTACCCATATCCAAATGTAACTGAAGGATTATTTTTTATTCAGATTTCAAAAATATAAACCACTTGGACAAATCTTGTAAAATTGACGACTACTAAAAGACTTCTTTAAGATTATGACTGATTTTTATATAACCGTGGCTGTACCTATTATCATAAGCATATAATATCAAACTGAAAATAAATATAAAACACCAGTAAAAGCAAATGTAGGCCTAAATAGTTGAATGATAAAAGTTGATTAACAAATTTTAATTTATTAACTATTTACAAGGTAAGGCCTGTATATATTTTAAACGAGGTCTTCAATGTCACTCATATCATCGTCTTCTTCATCACTGCTGTCACTGTTTCCTACTGATATGAACATTGATTCCACGAGGTCGTCGATCCGCGGCTCAGCTGAAGCATAATTATTTTCAATAGTTTTTACATGGTCGCACTTGTTTTTCCACTCTGTTGCACCAATGATATCAAATTTTTCCTGTGCCAATGAACGGATGCTCTCGAAGCTACAATTTAAGTTTCTGCTAGCTACGTAACCTTTGACTTCAGCCCAAATAAGTTCTATTGGGTTTAGATCTGGGTGGTAGGGGGGGAGACGAAGAATAACATGGTCAGTACCCGTGAGTAGTTCATCAATTTCATATCGAATGAATCTTGGTTTGTTCAGCAGTACAAGCTTATACAACTCGGGAACCAGCATTTCGTTTGAATATTGTATTCCATGTTTGGTTAGCCAGTCCTTCATTTCTTGTTTCCTACTATTTGATGTGGGTGCTTTGTCTAATTGCGCATTGTGATAAGGTGCGTTATCTACAACTATCACGGACTTCGGTGGTATGTTCGGCAGAAGTTTCTCTTTCATCCACTTGATCATGGTTTCCTTCCTGACATTGTCGTGATAATCACCCGTGGTGCTCGAAGCCTTCCACATCGTCAATGCGTAGGGACGAAACCAGCTTCACTTCCTGCATGAATCATTATTAGGCGTTGTCCTTTAGAAATGGGTACACGCATTCCCTTGGTTGAGTTGTCAGACCACGATAGACTTGAAACATGGCTTGTTAAAATATATGATTCGTCCATGAAAATAATAGTACGACCTTCATTTCTAAAACGTTTGACTGCTCTCAAATAAGAAATTCTCTTTTCCCGGATTTCGTTTGTCTCAATCAACATTTTGCGGTTGTTCTGCGTTTTCCTCCATCTGAATCCAAGCTCCTTCAGAATTCTCCTAAGGCTTGATTTTGATCCTTTGAAATCTATCTGTTTTTTTAGTTCCTCGTGTAGTAAAGAAACTGTTGGCAGTATTTTATGTTGAATGTGGAACTCATACACCAAGCGTCTTATCAAAGCCTTATCGAAATCATCCACTCCAGTGACGGGCCTTTTTCTGCTTTCTTTCAACTTACTAGGAGTACAAAAACTTTTGTCGCTATCATCGTCATCATGTATTAGTAGTGCTTTAAGTTCGCCCTCTTCGTTATGACTCGCTCCGAGACCCCTGTTGCCACTGCTGTTCGGGCGCGAGCTTTTGCCAAGGGAATGCTTACAGCTTTATCGTCAGCCTCTTTTTTCATAAACTGGTAAACATTGCTTACTATTTCCCGACTCTGTCCGTTCAGCGTCCTACCCTTCAACTTACTTTTCACTCTGTCACACATAATTCTATGTATGCCGAATACGTTAAAACACAGTATTAAATAAAAAACACAGTTAAACTAAACTAATCTTTCCGTTAAACACACTCTGCTATAATAATATTTAGAAAAGAATATAAATATTTACTTTTTTCAATCAGGTGATTCAATTAGAAATTCGATTATTCTAGCTAGAAATTTTATAGACGACTATTGGTGTGAGTGAGACCATAATGGAGTGAGTGAGCCCAAGTTTTATAGAATGGCTAATAGCGTCAGATCCGCGCGCACAGACTAATGACACTGTCTGTACCTAGTTTGTAAAGTTTTTCAATGTAAAAAAAGTAGTAATGATTTTTCTATTAGGTTACAACTTGGTATATGGTTTTTTGTGTACTAACTCCAAAGACCATATAAGATTTTATTAGAGTACCTATAGTAAGTTTCCAGCTTTGTCTCTTAGTTTCAAGAACATGCATTTGTCTATTTTGAGTAGTAAACCACATAATGCCTTCTTGATTATGCAATGCACAAGCTTATACTTTGAGCAACTACAGCAACCATGTTATACAAATTATTATTCTTATTCCTTTTATTATTAACAGATCTTCTTTGGCAAGTTTCTAACAGTTAACCAAAGACAAAAACAGTCTTAGCCTACAGATTTTTTTATATTGGTGGTTTAGTTGTTTATTATCATGCATGATTTGGGTTGGGATACATGTCTAGTTTAACAAATGGATTTTTTTTTCTTACTAGGACAATAGGCACTAGCCCTGTATTGATTTTCATGTTCCTTCAGGCTAGGCCTAGGGGTTGTGGTGTAATCACTTAGATAAAATAAAATCCATTGGTGAGATGGTAGGATTTGAACCCGGGACCTCAGGGACTGAAGTCTTCCTCTCTACCACTAGACCAGCTTGCTCCCCAGTATAATTAATGGAGTATTAATATAGCCTTTTGATTCTGATAGGTACTGGAGTGCCCAGAAGTACAAGGGTTGGAGGCAGGGGTTGGTTTAGTTGACGACGGTTCTTCTACGGATACTCTAATCCAAAGAGGCTGTTTGTTCCTTAGTTCACAAGGTAAGTGGAATTATAGTATTAATAAGTTTTACCTTCAGTTTTCCCTCATGATTCAAAAGTGTATAAACGTTTAACAAGAAGTTCACTTCTCCTTAATTATCACTGCACAATATTATGTTGTTGATAATTACTTAAATGATGAGAGAACATAACATCATTGAATAATATGTTGTCTGTCAAAAGCTATGTTTTTGTAAGTAATGTGTGTGCTATTACTGTAGGTGGCAAGGTAACACAGACCCAGGACCAATTTACTTTTTCATTTTGATGTCCCCAAAGGCCAAAAACACTAGGTATTAGCATTGTACTAGTAAAAATTTGTTTATATACATATATATTTATATATATAAGTGTGTCTGTAAACACGAAAACTAGAGTAATTTTTGCCCAATTTTGATGAAATTTGGCATGAGTGTAAAGGGTTAAATCAAATTAGTATGGGTTAATTTTATCCTTAAGTAAATATGAAAATGTCCTGCTTTCATTACAGTGATCGTATAGAGCTTAAAAAAAATAATTTATAATATTGAAGCGTTAGTATACAGTTAAAGGTTACATAAAAAATTCCAAAAAAAAACTGTACATTTAAAATTCCCATGTTATTCTAATGGAGTAAAACTAAATTGTTAAATTCCATGTTGGGCTCCTGGATTACTTTAAAGACCAACATAATAGTATTATTTTACCTTTGGCATGTAGGCCTAATCCAATTTTTATGTTGAATCAGTAGACCTACATGTTTTGCCGCTAATACAACATTCTTCTCCACAAAGCTTCTCTACAACTTTCTGTAGGGCCTAGGCCAAAGAGTACACTGACAGCCACCAATATTTTATTTAGGTTATTGTCAACCTAAGACAAAGTAAGGTCTTCCTTGGAGAACACCCGTTTTAGCCAGTTAGCCAGGTTTTGGTATTTCCTTAAGTCACAAATAGGATTTGGACCCCGTCACTCCCGAGCACCATTTCTATCATCCTGACTTGTAACTTTTCAGTCGGCAGTAGCGAGTCTGACATCAGAGTAGGCCTCTGGTGCTACAGTATTTTGCTGTAATAGTGATTAACACCATTCGAGTTTCTAGAAGTTTACAAGCTATGACCAGTGTGTGGTATTTTATTACAACATGTTTTTTAGGTTTGGTGTTTGTTGATGGAGTGGAAAAAACTACTCGACTACCACCGTTAGTGCGAGGCTCACGAGTTTCATTCACCTGTGAACCACTGACAAGCTCACGAGTTCGAGTTCACATAGACAGCGGTGAGAAGACTGTTACATATGACTGGAGAGTTTCAAGTACGAGTTTCTACCTCGCGGCAGTCACAACGCAACAAGGCTGGAAGATCATGGTGGAATAGACTGTTAGGATAGACTACACTTTAAGTGGTAATGGTTTCAATTCTAAACTATATTTCATGCTTCCGGTTTAGATTGTTTTGATAAGACGGTTTTTACACCATCTGTTTTAAAAAGGAATTCTGTTAAAATAAGAATTCGTGCTCAGTAGTTTCTGTATGTACTCATTTATTTTAAATGGCTGCTCCTATGTTGTGGGTTATCCATTGGACATGTGACATCACATTTTTATGTACGCTAATGTCGCTAATTGTTATTCTTTTAAAGAAATTACAAATTTTAAAAAGCAATATTGCTGCTAAGTACTATTGTACATTAAATGTAAATCAGATTTAATGCATGGAACAGAGCACTGCCCCATAAACATTTTTAATTGTATTGAATCTGAACATTTGATCTCCCAATTCTTTATTATTATGCAAATTTAGCCGCATAGGTAAATAGATCTATGTAAATAGACCAACCAATAGAATTTCTATAGTTAATCAGTGTAAGTAGACCATGAAGATGCCACACCAGATGATGAAATGTGCAGAGGTGTCAACCTGTAATCAACAACTCATGCAAACACCGAGATAAATATGGATAAACATGTGGGACTAACAACTTAGACAGATATTTTTCCAAATACATTGGAACCTGTGTTATCCAAAATAAAGGTGGGCAAGACCACTTTGGATAAAGTAGCTTAAAGTTTTTGGGTAAACTTGATTTTTTCACTTTCTAAATGAGAAAATAGACCTTAAAAATATCCGTTTGGGTTTAAAAACAGCTTTGATTAACCAATGCATTGTTTACTCTGTTTATGCAATACAAGATGTGTTTACAATACAGCTACATACATAGGTATATTGTACAACGATATTTGAATAAGCAAAACTAAACGACCATCTGAGTCACACTGGTTTAGTAGAGGGGAAAGAGTGGGATAGCAAATTAGTCACATATGCACAAGCTACTTGGAGGTCACAAATTGTGGATATTTATTGGCATGGTCTGTGGATGCAATATTCACTGGTGTGGATTAATGTCCGCACTATAGAGTACTACGACTATCCGCAGTACTATCCTGATAACTAGACCAATTCGTAAATTACAAAGCAAAAATGTGGTTCAAATTCCACTATAAAATGTAGGTCTCTTAGTTACCATAGGATATATGGGCTATTAATTAACAGCTGTGTCTAAGGAATATGTCAGCCTGAGTCAGTAACAAGAACAAGACTACAAGATCGCGCCGCTCATCTCTGCCTCCCTTCTCTCTGGCCTGCTCCCGCCATACTCAACTCTCTCTTTCCTTATGTAGGACGTGGCAGCTAGAATGTTTAGCGCCAATGCTGCAAGCTACTGTAGCTGTAAAATGATTTTTCTGGCTGATTTGGTTAATTGGTATTTCCATTTTGGTTATAAATGGGTTTTGGTTAATAGAGTTTCTACTGTATTTACAATCTTTTGAAGGATATAAGGAATCTTATTAAAAAATAAATTTATACCTCAGGCTTGTGCCTACTTATTTTTCTTAGTTAGTATAATGTTAATACTTCTTTTCAAATAACTCTCAGTAATTTTATGTAATTTATTTTAAAATGCTATTTGATATTTTGTTCAGTGGGATTCGTTAAAATTTTTTAAGATTCTAACATAAATAAGGTAACAAATCTTAACTTTCAGTAATTTTATGAGGAGATAGAAACTCCTGTCTTGCCCATCCCTGTTTATTCCTGACTTAAAAATTATTTGAAAATGTCTAATCTTTGTAGGCCCTATAACTTTTAGATTTTTGAGAATACAACAGTTTAAGATACCTTTGTCATTTTTTTATGATTCTTTAAAAAAACGCACACAACAAGACTTATAAATATGCTGTTATTTATGTCTGGTGTCTATTTATGTGAATTGTGAAGAAAGTGTCTATATCTACACTTATTATAAAGTAAAACTTTTTTGCAATACCGGAAACAAAGTGGTTTGTACAGTAAAAGTTACTATTTATACAGCTTACCATAACGCCTACAACACTCGTAAGAAATTATTTAGTTAGACTTAGACCTCTCGCCCACTATACGATTTCAGTCGTTCGACACTGTGTCGTACGATATTCTTATCGTATGTGTGGTCCTCGCCCACTATACGACACTTTATTGAATAAATGACCAGTTGCTCGGTAGCCGTGGAGGAGTGAGTGTGTTGCGCAATATTTTAACAATGGTTTTTTTGTCAAACAATTGATCCGTTACGTGTTGTTGCTATGTGGCTGCTATGGCGCAGAATAAAGCGTTGTAGGATTAAGCGGAACTATAGGATTCAACCTATTAATTAAAGTAGGGAACACACAGTATCATTTCAAACTCTTTTTGATGAACTTCGGCGTGATGATAACCAGTTTTTTTAACTACTTCAGAATGTCTGCTGTGTATTTTGATGAATTACACCAGAAAATAAAAGCTACAATTGCTTACCAAAATACTAAACTGAGGAACTGCATCACTTCTAAAGAAAGTCTAGCTATTACGTTGAGGTTAGTAAGATTATATTACATATTTGATACGTGTTCGAACATGTTTTGTATTGTTTTTAAATATTAATACTATTTGTTTAAAAATATAATCTGCAAAAAGTAATACTTAGGTATTTAAGACAAACTATTTAACACAATATAATTAATAACAATGGTTATACAAAAATTAAGGAATAGTAAAAGTTGCATTGTTTTATTAATTCTTTTAAATATTTGCTTATAAGTAATGCAGTACATTAAAATAGTATGAAGAAGAAATATGAACGAACTGTCAGGAATACAGACAAGATCAAAATCACGCAAAATGTTAGCTGAAAAAGACAAAAACTAAGCGATATATCAAACATAAACAAAAAATAAACAAGTATGAATTAATTGTAAAAAGTATAAGCATGATCAAAATTATGCAAAAAACTATTTAAAAAGACTAAAACACCATTTTAAATGACAAAACTTAAATTAGCGAAAGTCATGCGAAGTGAACAGCGAGAAGGCTCAGCGCGAATTAGAATTAGGACTTGGGGAGGACGCACGACATACGATAAAAATCGTATAGTGGGCGAGCGCCCATTTGATCATACACGCCACTGCGAGTTAGACAGTCGTGTATTACAGTGGCAGTGGACGACTGCTTCACGACAGTTTATCATAGTCGTGAGATTATCGTACAGTGGGCGAGCTCTCATAAGATCCAATGGTTCACTGTTAAAATGTTGTCGTTCCGACACAGTGTCGTACGACCGAAATCGTATAGTGGGCGAGGGGCCTTAAAGTCAAGATTTTGAGGGTCAATATTTATTGATACTTTACAGTAGAGTCGAAATTCTTTAATAACAAATTTCAACACTTATGCAAAGTTTATGTTGTCTATACATCTGAAGGCTGAATAGTTTACTCCTTTAAATAAATGTTACTAAAACTAGGTATATTTGACATTTTATATAATAATTTGTATTTTGGTAATCCGGAGGCTACATTTATCAATAAATGTAATAATTGGTTTCCATTTTTGAATGGCAGTTTGCTATGTGGTAATATTGCAGCCCTGTGGTTTGGAACCCTCCTTAAGCTGTAACTCACCTGCTAATGAAAAATAGATGACAAATAGCCAAGAACTATCTTAGTAATAAGGATTTTGATAACATGTTTCGTAGCTTTTATAGATGCGTTGGTGTCAAGAACAAGTGACAAGTAATATTTTAATGGCTACAACTTTCTTAGTTGTATTTCTTAAATACCTGAGTTCAGAACTTCTTTGAAAATTTTCTGTTTACATTTTGTTTGCGTTAGCATATCATAATGGATATTAAAAGCAATATTATTGATATTAAAAGTCATACAAAAATGTGTTGTTGAATTTTAGTTAATCTATAAAAAGTTTTAAGAATCTCTCTATAAAAAGTGGCACCATATAGGACTGATGTTATTCAATATTTGTATATATAAGATAAAAATATAATTCTGTGTATTTATTTATTGCATTAAATGTACGTAAAGTAGATGACTACTATAAATTAGCTTTGATATGAAGAATTTAAAAATTGGTAAAATGACTCTGGGTTGGCTTTAATGGTGTTGGCTATGAAGTTTATTCTAAGGATATTATACTGCATTATCGGTAATATTTGTATAATGAAATGCACACTGGTCCTCAACGTTGAACATTGTTTAAATCGAACTAGAGTTTTACAGCATTACAGCATTGTTTCAGTATTACCGTAGTAGCTTTTAGTGTTTTAAATGGATTTAACTCTATTGCAGGTTCCACAACTGTTAAGCTTAAATTTTAAAATGCAACATGTATAACTAAAGTCTTTCATTAAGTTTAAAATTGTTGAATTTGAAACTATGTGTGATAGTGTTATGGTATGATATTTGTATTTAAAGAGTTAATTAAAAATACATGTTATTCCTTATTTTAAAGTTGACAGGACTATTCAAAAATGTATGTTGTCTTTTAAATTAAATTTGATTGACACACTCATAAGGAAATATATGGAGTTGAACTAATATTATGTATTGAGGGACTGTGTTTGTAGATTTATATAATCAAACTATCTATGTGTTATTGCAGTAGTCGTAAAACAATTTTTAAAATCTAAAATGAAATCCATATATAATAGTAGATATTCTGTATCAATAAGTTTCATCCGCAGTTCAAATACCGTTCAACTTATTATGTTCAGGGAACCACTTGTATATTAATCTTAGTTTTACCTGTAATATTCCTTTGTCGAATAAACTTAAGAGTTATCCTTACCAACTATACTCCTAGGTGCTGATGTTATTGGTGTGCTTTTCAGTAATTTATTGTAAACTGAAAACTGAATGTTAGTTTGTTGTTTATGTCTTGCACAAACTGTTCTCAAGTAAAAACTGCCTTGAATTTTTGTATTGTTTGTATTAAATCATTTGAATAAGTTTTATACATAGATTTTATTTTTTTTCTCCTACCTTATTTATTGCAGTAGAATTTGTGAAACTTGGGAATAGCTATTTTAACCTAGAACTAAAATGATCACAATGCTCTGTTTCCTCGTTGAAGTGGCTGACATACATCTAATAACACTTGTAATACTATATTTACACTTAACACTTATACTGTTGACTTATAAGGCAAAGGCGGTAAATACATAAAGATGGCAAGTGTGGTGATTGATTTCGATTGGGCACTCAAATCATCAACATACCCAATAGGCAAATGGCATTGGTCTGACATTGACATGACATTAGTCTCGTTTGCCTATTGGGTCTGATGAAGATTTGAGTGTCCCATCAAAATCTATCAACACTTGCCATCTTTTATATGTATTTACCGTCTTGTAACCCAACAGTATAAGTGTAAATATTACAAGTGTTATTAGACACAGGGACGTCACCCATGCTCCTGGGGGAGCCTTCTCAATAATCTTTGAAAATTGTAAAAGTTCGTAATATTTGGGGTTTTGAAGGTATGAGTTGGAATTTTGGGAGGTTTGAAACTATCAACTTAAAGTTTTATTTTCAAACCATGCAGACATCTATCATTCTGTTTAATTCAATAATTAAAATAACAAAAGTGTTGGAAATTTCACATGTCAAAGTCAAGTAACTACAGTACATTACGTAACGTATCTCTAGTACAAAGTAACTCAAGGCCTTTTTGTGAAATTTCTTTATTAGCTGTGGATGGAGAGGAGTACACTGAGTTTTTATTAAAAAACTAGCTGTTGTACCCGTGCTTTGCAACGGGAAGAGGACACAAAATAGAAACATTTTAATCTTTATCTCTTGCATATAATAGTTACACATCCGCCAACGCTTTTAGAAACAAAATAAAACTTTTTTGGCCTTAATAGAAACGTTTAAAGTTATGACTTTTAAATCTGGTAAGAAGTGGATACCACCATTTTGGTTTTTATTAATTTTAAATCTTGTGTAGGCTGATATGAGAAAAACTGACCAAATCTTCGAGTAAAACTTTGACATACATGATTTACCAGATTTACCTTCATCTCCCTTAATTACACGTCTTTTAATTTATTATTGACATTTTAAATTTCAATTTTGAAGTTGCAAAAATACTAATTATTAAATTTAAATATCTTTATATTAAACTCTTCTTTATAATCACAAATCCTTTCATCTTCAGTTTTTACACTCACAATAAATCATTAGCAAAACTAAGTCAGCTGTTATAAGCTTTAGAAATATTGCTGTGCCTTATCAATACAGTCTTTTGAAATATTAAAGAAACTATATCGGTACTATAAAAAATTTCAAACAAATAATTTAGCACTAAAGACAGCAGACAAAACTAATATCGTTATCAAAGCATCAAGGACTAAAAAATGTAGTAGCAAATAAATACAGTATATGTTTCATTGCATCTCTGATTCTACTATACAAAAATATCAACAAACAACTTAATATACAAACCATTTCTTTTAATCAGTTCCATCGGCCATTGCCTTTACATTTTCACACTTACCATTAAGAAAACATAGTACCCTAACAGATATTTCATTGATTTTAGAAATAAAAGAACACTGTACTGCTTAGTTTTATGATATTTTCCTTGGTTTAATTTAATCAGTAGTGTAGCAAAACACAAATAATAAATGTATCAAATAAAGTAAATGTGAACTAAAAGCTATGTTAAGATAAAATAAGAGTATTTTTTATTACCATTTGATAATTAAATATAGTTACACATGTACAACAGATTTTAGAAAACAAAAATCAACGACAATTTAGTTATTGATGATATTCTTTAGTTTAATTTAAGCATAGGTTTAGCAAAACACAACAACTTAATTTACCTAAATATGCATATAAAAAACAATGTGATGTGCAGGTTATGTTAAGTTAATCTAACGCATGTGAAGCAGTTAGAATTTATTTAAAGTAGCCTCCA